GATCCCATCGTCGAAGTGTTGATTCATGGTTCCGCAATACTAGAAGATGAAAAGAAAATATATACAAGACAGAGAACTTGGCACATTAGCACCTCATGTTGGAGCTCTTGAGAGCTAGGACAAAAAATTAGCCCAAAAACAAAAAAACAAAAAACAAAAAGCTTAGTCCTTGGCATAGAAGTTTAACGCCATGACATATAACATGTGAAAGTAAGCCAAAAATCAAAGCGTGCAGTGCCTCGGCTCTGTCATATTAACATTGCGATGCGACAACCCGATAGATTCAATGTTGAAGTAGTTTTAGAGCCAGTTGAGGGAGTTAAGAAGTTATGTTAATTACATAGGCGGGATCCTAGGCTGATTGTAGAGAGGAAACTTTGCTGTGAGCAAAGGGGAATTATTGAGTGTGTGTAGTGAGGATAGTCCACTTAGAGTGTGTAAGAATGAGAAATAAGGAGAGCAACTGAGAGCACGAGAAGATAGTTCAAGGATAAAATTTATAATCAATATGTGAATCTATCTTTCAAATATTGTAGTCAATTTATAATTTTTGAAGTAATAAATCCTACTTTATTCGTTCTTCTGTTCAAAATCAGAGTTAATTTATTTAAAAAATCTAGAATTGTGATTACAAGCATACTTCTTATGTGAAATCTTTGGTTTGCCTGAATTGCATGTAAGAAACTATTTAAATTGCTTCAAACTTCATTGAGTTTATCTAGTGGCCACAAGTTTATCTCAAAATTAGTGTCATAAATTGAAATTGAAACAATTATAGAAGAATTAGTAATAATTTGACGGGTTTTTTATAAGATAGAAATATACATATTCAAGGGTACGAAATCATTAGAGAACAAATATTAAAACAATTGATTTTCTCAATTCATATAGGCATATAATGAATTATAAAAAATTATATGAATTGAGAAAATATCAATTAAGTTTTCTAATTATAGCAAGATATTAGAAAATAAAATAGTTCTTGATTTACAATGTACAATTTTTAAATTAAAGAATTGCAGAAATATAGTACAAGTCATTCACAAATTCAGGGTGTTATCAATCCCATTATTAGGTTTGATTTAATCAAAATTTAGTTAACGTTCTTCATCATTTGAATTGTTTAATAAAAATTAAGGTAATAAAATTAGTATCTAATTTATAATTAATTTCAATTGTGATTTTCCTGAGAACAATACTCCATTCACTCTTATATTACATGTACAGCACGTGCACTTGCGTGCACTATTATTTGGTAAGTATTATCTAGATTTATCATACCTTCTATAATACTTCACCAACTCTATCGACTGTAATAATTTTCACTTTTTATCTAATTATTTTTCAACCTCATTAATAAATACATCTAAAGTATCTACAACAACTATAACAACAGGACTTTAACCCAGTAGGCCGACTAGAATCATTTTTCTCCATTGTGTCCTATTGAGAGAACATCTAAAGTATCTGTTGTTTGAAAGTTTTCATATAATAATAGGCATATTCATGAAAAATCATTAAAAAAGGTAATAAAATATTTTTCTTCACCAAAAGATGAAACATTAAAAATTCACAAATATCAGTAATAATTTTCAAAAAGCTGTGTTCTAATGGCTAGTTTTTTAATATTGTTCCTTAATACAATCCACACAAATGTCACAATCAAGAAAATCTAAATAAAAAAAATCATTTATCACTATTATTTGTATTTTTTTTTTATTTATATATATCCCAAACATTTATGCCTCAAATAAGCAAATCTTTCATTTATTAACCATTGTTTATTCTAATACTATGACGTAAGGTTAATAGAGTTTCAACAAACAAAATATCAAGCTTTAATATATATATATATATAAAGCCTCATAGATAATGTTATAGATGTATCAAGTTTAAACAATGAAATTAATTTTTTAAAAAATAGAAGGTAAATAAAGAGTTTGGAAAAGATCGAAATTATATCCAGTTTCTAAAATCAAACAATACGTTCTAATAGCTTCAACTAGAGCTTTGATTCAATTTTCGAAGAAGAAAAAATTTTTCATTTTATGATTTGGGTCATAAAGAATCCCTACATCACGTTTGAAACATAAATAGTACAACCAAATTAATCTATCAAATATTATAATAAAAGTTGGACAAATTTGAATTAAAACATAAAAAAGCACAGGCTTACCTTTATTTTCAAACCAAGCTTTATGTTCTCAGAAATCTTCCTAATAGTATCTATATTTGTGACATATATAATATATATTATCATTTTATTTTTTTTTGGATTTGGAGAGATGACACAGTAGCCTTTAAGTGTACTTATTGGTCTTTACATTATTTTTCCTCATTTCATTTTAGCTTCAAACTAACCCATAAAATTAATTGAGTGAATTCCTCATTTCTTAAGTCTTTGTTTCTCCTTGAATAAGCATACTTTGCAATTCAATCACATGCCATTTATCTTTTATAATATTATAGTTTATTTGGAATGGACATTCAAGAGACTAAACTTATAATAAATTGCATTAGGAAACTTTCACTTTTATTCCAAAGGTATTTAATGTTGCTGCAATATTTGTCATTCAATGATATGGCCATCCATGATAAGTGAACCATCAATCTTAATAGTGATCAAAATATCTATTAGTCTCCCAATAAGTGACTTATTAGAGGAGACAAATCTTGCACAAACTTCATAAAATCATCAGCACTATCAATTTTTAGAATTTATGGTTTAATATCATCAATTACAGTAGTTCACATAATCATGATGCTAAATTTGTTGGATATTTTCCAAGCATTATGGAAAGATTTTCAAAATCCAAAATATCTAAATTGAACTTAATTTGTTCACTCCATTCAGTAAAACTAAGCCCATTAAACTTGATAATGGACGAAGTTTGTGAATGAAGAGCAATAGTAGACACTGAAAAAAATAAATATAGAATACTCATATACATGAATATGTTGAACTGTAAACTCAAATACATAATACAGATTGAAATGACTTCTAAAAAATCACTCGATGCATATTAGAGTTCTTTTTCAGGTGATACTACAATATATGATAATAAAATATCATTGATGCTAAATTTAAAATTCATATAATTGTTAATTATATATGCTTCAATTAAATATGTCTGGTATACTCACATATATTAAACATATCTAATCAGTTATATTAATTAATCAAAATCATGCCCATGATAACAAAATTAACTAATCAACCTTTGGGCGATCCTTAAATATTTTATAACTAATGAAACTCAAATTACCAATGATAATAATCATTAAACTTCATTAATAACATCATATACTTATGAGTAATTAAATATTATTTAACTTGACAATTATGAAAACTTTTTATTCAGCCACTTTGGTGATCAACGAAAAATACTTGATATATATGACAAATTAAATAATGACGATATTCATTATTTCAATTAAATAAAATATATAAAAGAAAATGGCTATGATGTATATAAAGTTTCTTATACTAATTCATCTAAATGTAACGATCATTCTCTTAAATTTTTACATATACAGATAATTAATCAAAATAATATTCAAAACACACAATATCAGTATTTGTGTTTATTTTGATTAGATGGTGCTCTCGTAGTTACTGGGATACTCAGTGCCATAAAATTTAATTGTAGCAAAATGATGAATAAAATACCATTTTTTCATAACAAAAGTGCAAACTATCCATGCAGTTACATAAAATCTCAAATAGGTACTTTGATTTGATGTAAAACTAATATAATATTGAATAACAAAAACAAATGAAAGTATTTTCAATAATTGAAAAGTTGATGAGAACGGCAAACCACCATAGGGTAAATCTTATAGTCAATCTGTTTAAGAAAAACACAAAATAATCTTTGATGAAACTTCACAAGTTTTGAAAATTGGGCTCTAATACCACATGTAAGAAAATTCTCACATTCATAAAAAACTTTATAATTATGCAACATTAAATTATATGCATGAACACATAAACCTGAATATTTGAACAAGATGATTGATGCAAAATTTTAAATAGAAAATAAACATAATTTTCATGATGATATTCTATGAAATTTTGTGAAAATTATGGTTTCTCTCACTTATTTATTTTCTTAAAAGGAGAGAAAATTAAAACTCAATATGTATAGAGAGGGCCACTAATTACTTGGGCAATATTTGATCCAGCGGCCCATAAATTTTTGATAGTCACTCACTTTTGACCAATAAAATTTGGACTAATCAAATATTAAATTATTAAACATTAGTTAATAATACATGGGTCATTTAAAAAAATAATGTCAAAACATTACTTCTAGCAATAACATTATACGTTAGAAATGATATACAATATCCAATAGTACAAGAGGTTAAATAAATTTTGGCACCTATGGTCACCTGATTACTTCAATGGTCATATGCTTACAAAATTTTTTGCTTAACATTTCCATAAAAAAAAAAGTATCGGCATGTGTTAGCCTGGAGGGTCACATCTAACTAATTTAACATCATTTTTTTTAGTTTTTTAAGAAGTCTAATTTAACATCCTTTTTAATAGTTATTACATCATCAAGGTTATAAATTTCATTTTGTTTTGGTTTCATAATTAATTTTCAAAATTGTATTAAACTTGGGATGATACAAAGAAAATAACTGTTGTAAGGTTTAGATAGCATGAGAATATATTGGTGACTTTTAATATGTGAAGTCTTCCATTGGACATGGAATTAGATGCATTAATTGATATTACATAGAGCATATAGTCATTCTCCGCATAATAAGAGAAAATCCCAACTGAGAATCTTCTTCTTCCAGGAGAATAATGGTTCGTCCTCTCTCAATTTTAATTTGTCTGACCCTTCATTAGCAAAGTTTACTAGCAATTAGACTCACAATATGTGATTGTTTACTAATCAACAAGATCAAGAGAGGGCAAAGTAAAAAATGCTGTAAATATTAGTTAAGATGCAGAATCTATAACTTTATGAGAAAGATCCACATACTCTGAACGTCCCTCATCGGAACGAACTGTACAATATCTCGTGTTGCCACTTGTCCAGTTGTACTTACAAGTCTCTCTCCTTTGTCTGCATCCAAGATCTACATAACAGTTCCAGAAACTTAGTAACTGAAAGATAAATTAGTCTAGCACTTATACTTGGTTCCGATGCATAGACATGAAAAAAAAATCCTAAAATGATGAGTATGAATCTTGAAAAGCATTCAAAAGTAAATAACTTAAGTGATTTAAATATATCACACAAAATTTTTATTTATTTACATATTAATATCTAAATCACATGTAAACATATACACAAAAAATTTGTATTTCAATTGAGTTAATGAAGAGATTAAGGTGTTTATAAATGAATATAAAAATTAAGATGCTAGATATATAAATACATACGAATGCTGTGTTATGTATGTAAATGCCCCTAACAAAAAAATGCAGAATGAAAAAACTGAATTTACTTCATGATGTTTGCACTTAAAGACATTCAAATATGCCGTGATGCAAGTGCGCACCTCCATTTCTTTGAAATCAGCGCCACCAACTCCAACGATAAGAATTGAAAGAGGCAGATCGGATGCTTTCACTAATGCATCTTTAGTTTCTTGAAGATCTGTTATCACCCCATCCTAGTGAAGGGTACATTCAGCTTAGAGATATTCGCCAACCATGAAGAGAGTAATTTGTTTATTACCGTAATTATCAGCAAGACAAAATACTTCTGCAAGTTGTTTGCCAGTGACTGGCCAGCTAATGCTGCAGCAGTGTTAATAACAGGTCCGAAAAGGGTAGGTCCAGCCAAGGATACATTATGAAGTGCACTTGCATAAGCTGCCATTATTCCTTGAACGCCTTCAACCTGCAATTAGCATTCATTAGTTAAGAGTAGCACCTTTTTTTTTTGGAAGAATTACATATATACTGCTTAATTCCCAAGAAATTACATATCTTACACCTAAACTTACATTTATATATATTTATCTATCTATCTATATATATATATATATATATATATTATGAAAAAGCCCAAGGGCTGATATATTAAAGATAAAAATACAGATAGGTTTGTATGGGTGGGCCTAAACACCCAATCCACACGGTACAACACACACCAAAAAATATAAAAGATGGATACATATAGAAATAAAAAAAACTTAAAAACCACCCGGGCGCTGAAAAAGTGTGGGTCATCCCAATCTAGTCTTGCCTCTGGCTCTAGTTCTCGGTAGGGATTCAGCTAGCAGATTGGTAAGGTGTTGACCACTACCCGTAGTAACAAAAGTATCATCCATAAGACTCCTGAGCTCTAGTAAATCTCCATTCTTCTTCTTCCTCCTAGAAGTGTAAACATATCATTCCTCCTCCAAAGAATTCGTCTGATTGAGTAGAGCTGAAGCAGAAGGATTACGAACAATAAAGAAGGATTACCAACCAATAGGTTCACAATAGGTTCTACAATATGTGAAGTATGAGTTGCCACTACACCGGATAATTCTTGAAGAAGTGGAGCTGCGAGACTCTCCTGATTAGGTGTCAGCATCGCATTACTCGCAGTAACAGTAACAGCAGTGTCATGGGGGGGTTCTCAGGTGCAACAGACACCTCTTGTCTGATAATATCCTCCTCAGGTGGAACTAAAATGTCCACAGCAGTGGGGTTAGACCCATCCTTGTCCACTTGAACATTAGATTTCAAATTAGGATGAAATTTATGACATTTAGCAAGAATATGACCAAACATCTTACAGTGGGTACAATATGAATGCCGATTGGGGGCCAATACCCATTATGGGTTGTGCCCAGTCAGACTTCAGTAACATCAAATAAAGTAATATCCCTTTCCACAAGTATTTTGGCCACCGAGGGTCTGGTTGAGTTGAAAGTAGGCAAATCTAGTTTCAAAGGATCCCCAAAGATGACTCCAATAGAGTAGAGAACCTGATGGTGAAAAAAATGCAGCTTGAGACCAGGTAAACTAAACCATACCAGTACAGTGGGAGTTTCATGAATTGGGCGAAATTAGGAGACCACTTGAGTAACTTCATTGATTTGCCTTCGATATTAAGATATTTCTTGGAGAAAATTCTGGTGTAGTCTTCAGTCACTGTTAGTTGAATCAACACATGTCTCATATCCATGAGTCTCACTTTCCACTTGCCTACTAGCTTAAGATCATCAATACTCTTTCTGATAATATCCATAGGAGGGTGTCCCCACTGAAATTTTCCAATAAGAGCAAACTTAAATTTTTCCATCGGGGTAGAAATTTCTGATTCAGAGAAAAAGATTGTTGTTTTTCCACCTTTCCTATTTCCATTCTTAATAAAAGGACAATAATCTGTGCCCTCACGAGATTCCTTATAACTTGAGAGAAATCCCACTGCGAACTCCACCTGAGGGTTACCCACCACGTGGGCAAAGAAGACTTTGTCCGGCTCAACCAAACAAGGAGGCGCCATCAAAGCAAGGAGAGCAGTCGGCTTTGAGCTACAGCGAAGTTTGGCAGGAACAGTGAACTCTGTCGCGCGAGTCGACGAAGACGACGAACGCATCGAGCAGAGAATCGAACGCGTCGAGCGGCTCTGTCAGAGCGAACACATCGTCGTCACGCAGACGAGCGCGA